AGAGATTACTGCCTATGTTTTTTTTTTTTTTTTCCAGGAGTTTTATGATTTTGAGCCTCACATGTAGATCTTTTATCCATTCTAAATTTCCTTTTGTGTGTACTGTAGCAAAGTGGTCCGGTTTTATTCTTTTGCATATAGCTGTCCAATTTTCCTAGCACTATTTGTTGAAAAGACTGTCTTTTCCCCAGTGTATATTCTTGCCTCCTTTGTTGAAGACTAATTGGCCAGATTATTGTGAGTTTATTTATGGGCTTTCTGTTCTGTTCCACTGATCTAGGCGTGTATTTTTTACCTGTGCCATACTGTTTTAATTACTACATTTCCCAATTTTTGATTACTAAGAATGAAGCTCCTCTAGACATTTGTGCGCCGGTTTTGTGTGAACATAAATCTTCATTTCTCTGGGGTAAATGTCGAGGAGAGCAATTGCTTGGTTAGTACATATTTAATGTTTTAAGCCCCTGTCACACTGCTCCCACAGTGGTTGTGACGACTAACGATAAATGAACAATCATGGGGCACCTGGGTGGTTCAGTCAGTTGAGAGTCTGACTTCAGCTCAGGTTGTGATTTCATGGTTTGTGGGTTCAAGCCCCACACTGGGCTCTGTGCTGACAGCTCGGGGCCCGGAGCTGTTTCAGATTCTGTGTCTCCCTTTCTCTCTGCCCCTTCCCCGCTCATGCTCTTTCTCTCTCTCTCTCAAAAAGTAACTAAATACATAGACATTAAAAAAACCAACTTTTTAAAAAAAGAACAATCCATTTTCTCCACATTCTTGCCAGCTTTCGTATTGCCACTACTTTTTATTTTAGCCATTCTGAATACATAAGTAGTGACACCTCTTTGTGGTTTTAATTTGCATTTCTCTAATGGCTAATGATGTTGAGAATCTTTCCATGTACCCATTTGCCATCTCTATATTGTTTTACATAAAATGACTTCATGTTCTTTGCCTGTTTTCTGATTGGATTGTTTGTTGTTTCACTGTTGAGTCTTTAATGTTCTTTATATATTCTGGACACTTATCCTTTGTCAGATATGAGGCTTGTAGATACTTTCTATCAGTGTTTAGCATGTCTTTAGACCCCAGTCGATGGGGTCTTTGACAAAAAAAATAATAATTTTTATGAAACCTGATGTATCAGTGTTTCCTTTAATAGATTATGCTTTGGGTGTCCAGTCTAGGAAATCTTCAGTCAGTCCTAGATTATCTTGTATGCTTTTTTCTAAATTTTTATACTTTTATATTTATGTCCATGATCCATATTGAGTTAATTATTATATAAGGTATTAGAGTTAGGTACAGGCTTATTTTTGCGTTTGGTATTTTCGTCTCTGGACGTCTATTTATTCCAGCATCATTTGTCAAAAGGTTATCTTTACTCCACCGAATTGCCTTAGCACCTTGAAATCAGTGGAACATATTTATGTGGGTCTTTCTTTCTTTCTTTCTTTCTTTCTTTCTTTCTTTCTTTCTTTCTTTCTTTCTTTCTTTCTTTCTTTCTTTCTTTCTTTCTTTCTTTTGAAATTATTTAAGCTATTCTATTGAGGTTTGGGAGGTTTCCATATCCATTTTAGAAGAATCTTGCGTATATCTTCCAAAAATCTTGTTGGGATTTTGATGGAAATAGTGTTAAACCTGTATATAAATTAGGGGAGAATTGATATCTTTACAGTGTTGAGGCTTCCAGTCTGTTAGCACGATATGTTTCTCCATTTGTTTAGTTTCTTACTGGTATCTTCCGTCACCATAGCACCGTTTTGAGAGTATCGTTTTGTACCTGTTTTGTTACAGCCAAGCATTTTTTTTGAATGATTATAAATGCCATTGTAATAATTAATCTTGGTTCCATGTGTTAAGTTCTAGAATCAGAAATACAGTTGAATTTTGTATGTTCTTTTGCATCCTGTGCACTTGTTCAAGTATTAGCTCCACGAGTTTCCTTATGGACTCCCCCATGTCGTCTATGTAGATAATTGTGTCCTCTGCAAAGAGGGGCGATTTTCTTTCTTATGTTCTGATCCATATGCATTTGTTTTCTGCACTTGGCTTCCTGCTCTGGCTAGATCTTCCAGCACGATGTTGGATACAAGTGACAAGAACAGACGTTTTTGCCGGGTTCTCAGTCTTAGGGGGAAGCATTCAGTCTTACACCATTAAATATCATGTTAGCTGTAGATTTTTTTCTTTTTTAGATACCCATTGTCAAATTGGGGAAGTTTTCCTCTATTCATATTTTACTGGAAGGTTTTCTCACGATTGGGTGTTTAAGTATATGCAATACTTTTTTCTACATAGACTATCATGATCTTGTGTTTTCATTCTTTAGCCTGTCGCGCTGGCAGATTATATTGATTGATTTTCAAATACTGAACGCTACTTACATCCCTGGAATAAACACCGCTTGGTTATGTTGGAGAATTCGTGTGATATGTTGCCTCTGTGTGCTCTTACTTTGTTAAAAATGTTCATATCTATATGTGTGTGAGAACAGTTACTGATCCATTGTTGTCTCGCAAAGGTTTTGTTCGATTTGCTATCGGGGTATTTAGCTTGAGCGGCCACAATGAAATACCATCCACTGAGTAGCTTAAACAACAGGAAGTATATTTTCTCACAGTCCTGGAGGTTGGATATCTGGTATCAGAGTGCAGCACCATCAGGTTCTGGTGAGGACTGGTCCTGGCTCGCACACACCTGCCTTCTCTCCATGTACTCATATGGCTTCTGCTAAGTGAAAGCATGATGGGGGTGGGCGGGGGGGGGGATCTCTCTTTCTATTCCTTTTATGAAGCCACGAATGCTATCAGATTAGGACCTCACCCCATGACCTTATTTCATATTACTTAACTCCTAAAAGCCCTGTCTCCAAATACAATTAGATTGAGAGGTAGGGCTTCAATATGTGAATTTGGGGGGCAACAGTTCAGTCCATAGTTACAGGGTAACATTAGTGCCATAAAACACATAAGGAAGTTGCCATCCACTTCTGTTTTCTGGAAGAGACTGTGTAAAATTGGTGCCAACTTTTCAAATGTTTGGTAGATGTCTTAGTGCATTCGGGTAGATGTCTGTGTATAACAGAATAGCATAGACAAGGCGGCTTATAAATAACACAGATTTACTTCTCACGGGTCTTGAGACAGGGAAGTTCAAGATCGTGTTCCAGCTGATTCGGTGTCTGGTGTGAGCGCTTTCTGTTACATAGAGAACATCTTCTTGCTGTGTCCGCACATGGCAGAGGGCATATTAAAGGGATTCTGGAGTCTCCTTAATAAGGGTGCTAACCCCATTAATGGGGGCTCTGCCTGTAAATTACCACCCAAAGGCCCCAGCTCCAAATATCATCACCTTGGGAGTTCAGTTTCAATATATGACTTTTGGGGGACACAAACATTCAGTTCATGGCGTAGAATTCTCCTGTAAAACCACCTGGCCCTGGAGATTTATTTGGGGGAGTTTTAAGAGTTACAGGGTTATTCAAATTTTCTATTTTGTATTCAAAAAGTTGTGATAGTTTGTGTTTTTATAGGAAATGGCCTATTTCATGTAAGTTAAATTTATGTGTGCATTTTTTAAATAGTATTCCATTATTATTTTATGTCTGTGTGGTCTCTCGTAATATTTGCTATTTTATTCCTGGTATTCGGTGTTTATATCTTCTACCACCCCCCCACACACACACAATTTTTGTGTGGGCCTTGCTAGATCGTTGTTAATTTTGTCAATCATTTCAAAGAATTAGCTTTTGTTTCATTGTTTTTCTCTGTTCTTCTGTTTTAGGTTTCTTTGATTTCTGCCTTTATCTTGTATGTATTGCCTTCTCCTTGCCTTAGGTTTATTTCACTATTTTCTAAGTTCTTCACATGGGAGCTTAGGTTCCTAATATGAGATCTTTCCACTTTTATACTGTATATTTTAACACTATTAATTTCCCTCTCAGCACTTAGCTGAGTCCTCTAACTTTTGCTATCTTGTCTTTTTACTTTCATTCATTTCAAGGTATTTGTTTTTCATTTCCTTTGACATTTCCTCTTCGATCCAGGGATATTTAGAATTATGCTGTTTAGTGATTGGCGATTGTTTTGTTATTTTCCCCTAACAAGTTTTTAGTTTGATTCTAAAACCTACAGCAGCTGGAATTAGGTATTTAATACCCATAGACTTACTGGCAAATCAGAATTTCTCTAAAAGGAATGAACATTCAGGCTTACTCCTTTTGGATTTGTGTTCAGACAGAGATTTGTGTTCTCACTATACTAAATCACATATTTAGAGACAAGCTACTTAATTAGCAAACTTTAGGTAAAAAATAAACCGATGAAGTGTCTCTTTGACCTTTTGGAAACCTGTAACTTTATAACGCATTATGCATAAAGTATATATTATTATGCTAGTTCACTCATTCAGAGTGCTGACTCTATCATCATTAAAATTTCTAAATATATGTAAACCTAGTGATAGGTGAAAAGCATATCTCAGAATCTAAAAGATTTGTCTTGAAAACCACAAATTAAAATCAATTCATTTGACCTCTGCTCAAGGGAACAATAGGTTTTTTGTTTATTATGCTGTGGCCAGTATGTTTTCTTTTCAAGAAAGCTCTGATTTATTTTGAGCAGATAGTAAGAATAAGCACATTGACTATGAGATGTGACAGCCCATCTAACAAATTAAGAGGAAAATAATAAAGTACGTGCAAAATCATATTTTGTCAGGTAGCACGTACGAGGATGCCTTTGCATTGCGTTCCCTGTCTTACGCATTATACAATTTCTTCAAGAAAGAATTTTTGCCAAAATTATTTAAATAAACCATTAGTTGAATGTGCCTAATTTCAATCACCTGGCAACACCTTGGGTATGAAACTTGTAATTGTTTCGTGATGTGTCTCAGACATAGTGCAGGGAAAGAAGAAACACAGTGACTTCATCAAATAAGCTTGAATAACACATTTAGGCTTTTTAACCATGTTCATGTATTTTTTTGTGGTTTAGATTATCGGGATTTCAGCTGCCGTCCTCGATCGTCAGCACAGGATCTATCCTCGCGCTGTGGTTCACAACAGACTTCGCCGTGAGTGCCCAAGGTTTCAAAGCCCTGTATGAAGGTAGGACATTTAATGTGCTCTGCACACACATACTGTCCAGACGACCTCACCCTTGCCACTCTGGATTAAAGATTCTAATGCAAATACAAGCTGCTTTTTCAGAGGTGGTTGGATGTTATAAATATTTGATGTTTATATTCTAGATTTATATATTGATGATGGCAGAACACTGTCTAGTCTAATTGCCGAATTTCCCAGCACAAAACCTGTGTTTACAATTTCCCTTTGTCGGGAGCGCTCTTTTTAATTGGAGAAGTGTTTTTTCTTTTGACATGTAGTGGAGAAGTTTGGAAAATTTTGAATACCAATTAGCAAGACTGCTTTTCTGTGAAAAATCATTTTCAATTCAGAAGTGTTGTCTTAAAATTTTTGGTAGCCAGTAATGAAGTTAGTGCTTAATTAAAGAGAATTCCATTCCGTGAGTCTTTCTGGTCCAAGCTGAAACTTTTAATTGAGAAGATGATTTTGTTTTGCCGTTTGGTCATTTGAAGGCATGTGGAGTTTGCTTGTGTTTCCAGAGTTTGTGCCTGGTACCCTTTGGAGTCTTGATATCGCTGAACTACTTTGGGACAAAAATTTTGAAAAGGTGAAAGAGAGTACGCCCTTTGAGAGAGGGAATAATAGAGATGATCGCTTCAGGCATTCGGTTTTAAGAAATTAGTAACACTCTAAGCGTAAATGCTGAGGTGTGTCTGTTTTAGTCTTGTTGTACAGAGGTATTCAAGATTTGCTCTCATGGGTAAAACAAAGACTATTATGTTTAGCATAAATAAACTCTGGAGCCTGTGAATTGAAAATAGACTGTGGGTAGGGGTCTAGGCAAATCTCTATTTACAGCAGATCCCATTTACCTGTTTCTGGGTTGATCACATCTGCCTATGTTTTTATTTGGAGTATTCAGTGCACTTGGGGGAAAAAAAATCACTCTTTGTGGAGAGATAAAATCTACATGCGCTTTACACAGTTGAATTTAGTTACTATAGAATTACCAGAAAACATAAGGGTGGCGTGTGTTTTTTGCACAGATAGGTAGACAGACAAATTCATGCTTTTATTTAAAGTTTTGGGCGTAATGACATTTAGGATTGTTTACTATTCTTACTGCAATATCTTTCAGGCCAGGGCATTTATGTATATAAACATATTATATAAATATATGTATCATACTATACATATATATTATACATGTACATATACTTATATACTATATATGTATATAATATCAACTGGCATGAGTATATTTAATATACTTAAAGGTGTTTAAGTCCATTACCGTTGGGGAATCATTTCATATTTGGAGAGTAACAAGCCAACTTAAGGTCGATAGGTGCTGTTATTAACTTTTGCCTCTGTGCGTGCCTACCAGTTTCCACATACACTGACTTCACATAATTTCTTTTTCGCTCAACATTGTGAAAGTGTTTCTAAGGCACCCTACCTAGCTGCCTGTGAAGTTACCTTGTCCAGTCAACATATCTGACATTTGCTCAGAAGGTCGGTAACACTTCCCTGTTTCAGAAGCCGTGACAATTGTCGTCTGCTTCCAGACAAAGTTGGCACTTTAATATTCCATTTTGCTCAATTTCCTAAGGTAAATGTTGCGGAGACTTGGTTGGTGTTGAGTGATGGTCAAAAGAGTAATTCTATGGACTTTTCTGGGCTATTTTTTGTTGGTATTGCTCGTTGTCATTTTATATAACACATGATTGGTGAGATTGTCTCTGTTGGAAAAAATACTTATGAGCTATTTTATAAAATGAGTGGAAAAGTGAATAGGGCTGGGAGCTAAGTGACATGTGCGTTTTAAAACTGTTGCTATGTGGACGTGCTCTTTTTGAAATTTATATTTTAAATATCTATCATATAGTCTGATATTTACAAGCAGACACAAGCCTTTTTCTCGAAAGGAAAAAAAAAAGATAGTGCTTTGTCAGCAAAACCAAAATTCTATATAATATTTAACATCTGTATTTAAAAATATTTCTCCATTAGCATAAAGGTCTCCTGAGAAAATCAATGTGTACTATCTGGATAAACAAAGTTAACTGTAGTCTCAACAGAGGATTACAGACTAAAGAATCTATCTAGAAGAGAGTAAAGCTTTCACTAGGGCACCGACTGCTTTCTCCCTAGTCTAAGTGCCCAGAGTGAAATTAGATTCAGCTGAAGGCAATGTCACTGGAGAAGGTGGATTTTATTAACACTACTGATACTGCATGAAATATACAAACATGCCTATTCAAATAAAATATAAAGCAGAACCAATGATAATGGTCAGAATATTATCTAATTTTTTTTTTTTTTTTTTTTTTTTTTTTTTTTTGGAACCAGAACATTGAATCCTTGGAGGGATTCAGGGTTCCTTGTTTTCCATGAGGTTTTATTTTGATGACCCTGTCCATCATATAGTTAATATAAACCAAATCATATAATAAAATTCTGATGTCTTATCCAAGACCTCTAAAGGAAATTTGATTTAGATATAAAACACTAGATCAGCTTGTTCAAAACATAATGCTATGTAGTCTTAAACTAGTACTATATTTTCTAGTTCTAATTAGAATTTAGTATTACCAGAATGATGTTTAAATTTTTAATTTAAGCACCTTTGCTTAAATTGGAGAAAGTCTTTTCAACTTTTAAATTGTCTCTAAACATAATCACCTTGATAACAGGCTTAATCCGGGCACTGAACTTTGTACTTTTCTGGCAGTAATTTAGAATGGGCATTATTTACATAAATTATTATTCATGCATGAAAATATTATACTACATAATGAGTATGAAAACAATAATTTAAAAATTCTAATGAATGCATTCAGTCATTGAATTTAACCCTGGAAATTAAATGGAAATATTTATAAATTTCACAGTAACAGTGCTCATCTGCAGTAATTGAAACTCTAAATACGGAGACCTTAAGGGTCTTAGTAAATTTATAGACTATTGGTGAGATCAACATATTTCAACATATAAATACAGAATATAGTTGAAGTTACCAATTTAATAGAGTGTTTTGTAATATTACATTTGCTTGTCGCATCACTGAACATTGTTCTTTACCATAAACAAAAGAAATTGCGTAATTTTTTGGTAAATTTATAACAGAAAATATCGAGAGTACACACAACTTACAATGACATAGATTACTATCAGAATTCTTAAATTTGCCCAATATTGAAGGAGTATGTATGTAAGTAGCATTTATTCAGAGATATCTGTTTGTCAACTTTTCACTGAGATTTCAATCACTTAAAAAAATTTCATTTTTTTCATCAAGGTTATGTATGAATTAAAATTATCATTTAGGAAATCATAAACTTAATGTGGCATGTCAAGACATAGTAAATATTATGTGATGACAAAGATCCATGGTAAGGCATGGCAATCATTTGACTTGGGTACAAGGAGAACAAGTCAATATGGTGACATGAAAATCTAGAGACTGTGCCCCAGCAAACCTGTCACTCTGTCACTCTTATTTTTTTCCACTTTTTGAAAGGAAATGCCTCTACTTTTTTGTGATGCCTCTATTTCTTAATTGTATTTAGTATTTATTTATTTTTGAGAGAGAGAAACAGAGTGTGAGTGGGGAGGGCAGAGACAGAGGGAGATACAGAATCTGAAGCAGGCTCCAGTCTCTGAACTGTCCACACAGAGCCCGACTAGGGGCTCCAACTTAGGAACTCAGGGACCTGAGCCAAACAAAGTCTGATGCTTAACCAACTGAGCCACCTAGGTGCCCCAAGATGCTTCTATTTCTAATGGTTTCTCTTCCTAGCGACAAAAGTAAATGGAATGTTAGAAACACTTGTGAATATATGATAAAAATTTGTCAACCTGACATTTTAGTTATTTTGATTTTGAATTCTGATTTATCTTTAAATGGCTTTTCCTTCGTTAATGTATGTGTTTATTTTTGTCCTGGATATCATTCAGATATTTCACAGACTGTTCCATAACTTTTATAGACTGATGTTCAATCATTTTATTCTTGATTCAATTTTTAAAAAAATGTAGTTTTCACAAATCATTTACCATAATTTAGGTTGACCTTTTAGATATTTTTGCAGTTGAAATATGTCTTTGTGGACTTTGGTTGGTTTGTAATAATTCCATATTTTCTGTGAAATAGAATTTGAGTAGAAAATACCAGCTCTGTGGTTCAAATTAATGAGGCAATGTGTACTCACTAGAATGAATAGTTTCCTTGTATACAGCATAGTTCGAACGTGTAGGGTAATTCCAATGGTTGAGAACCATATTTTCTTTGAACGATTAGCAAATGCTTTTTATGTATGGGACAGAAGGTGTTTTAAATAAATCAGAATGAAAATCATAGGCATATTTTGACATGAATATTTAAGTTTGGTTACAGAAGGAAGGTTTTACTTGATTCTTGTCTACGGCAAAATTGATAAATGGTGGGAAACTATTCTTTTTAATATTTCTTTAAAAATCCTGGCTGACATGGTAGCTGCAAAGGGAAAATTGTTAACCACAAATGTAGGCAGTCATATATTTTGATCATAAGATACTGATTTTAAGGACTCGGCATTTCCATTTGCTTTCCAAGGTCCCATCTTTGAATATACTGCATTTACCCTTTATGCATGAAATATAAGAATTTGAAAGCATCAGAATCTATTTGAAGGAAACAGATACTGGTGATATAATGAGGAGGATTTTGACATACTAAATAGTAAACATTTGCTTGTGGCAGGAAATTGTGTTTCATACAAAACAGTTCATTAGCTGGAATGAGAAAAAAACAATTGCCCATGAAAATGCTTTAAGAGCCTCCCCTGGGTTATAAAATGCTCTTCTCAAGGAATTGTTCTTTTCCAAGTTTTTTTTTTTTTTGTCTTAAAATTATCCATTCTATCAATTATAGAGTTACATTCTGCTTACTAAGGTATATGTATATCTGCGGATAGACAGATGAGAGATAGGTGATACACGTGTGTGTGTGTGTAGTATGATATAAACTCGGTATAGAT